AACATACGAGGTACTTTTATATCCATTTGGAATCTAGTTGTACATTATATTAAACTTTATCTATACTATGTTGGAAATGATCTGGTAATGTGTGTTTGATTAACATTCATAGCAATGAGAACATAAACTGAATGAATGTGATGACAATTTTCCATACTTACAATTGCATACATAACTATATTCTAGAGAATGAGATATAACACAATCACTTAATTATTTGGAGTGCTGTGCTTTTTTTTTTTCCTTTGTTTCTTTCGCTATTGGAACACGAAAACTGTACTTTCTGAGATGGCAGCTGGAAATGGTTTATTTATTTCATATGTATTTGATATAATTTGTTTTCTAGCATGTACTGTTATCATTATTAACAATTTTCCAAGCAACTACTTCTATGGTCTAGTAGAGTTATTAGACAATGAATTTAGAAATGATAAATGTAACCTTTTAAGTAAATCCAATTTTGGAATCATTGTTGAGTCATTGACAGGTAGGCCAACTGAATTTGCATTCTAGGGCCTATTGCCTAAATATTTTGGATTCTGCTACAAATGTGAGGTTGGACGGGTAAATACTTTAAAATAATTTGAAAATAGTTTGATAGATGCATGTGGCATGGAATTGGTGCTTTTGTACTTATAACCTACCCATTTTGAAAGAAGTCTTTGCAATGATTATTGTTTTGTCCTTTCTTCAAATGTATGAATAATCTTTTGGGAATAATTTCAGTACTGTTGATCTTTGAGGTAATTTAAGGGTTCTTAACTGAAAGGAGGGTGTTAGATCATCATCGTCTAACTATATATGCACAATGGTATATAAAGGTTTTAAGGATACCTGATTTATTAGATGAATACAGTTTACAAGTGTACATTATGAAATAGTTGCCTATTATTTAAAATATTTTTGAAAGCCTAATTTGATTTGGGAAAAGGTGCCTCGGAAGTTCTGTTTCCATAGTTGTGGATGGAACTGAATCATAACGAGCATGCCATAGTGCAATGAGGATACCATCAAGGTAATTTGGCCGTTCCGGAAAGTTCAAACAGAATTGGAGGTGCTTATATTTGTTGCGTTTAAAGTTTGTCTTTCAGTGCATATACTCTTTTATTTCCATTTCTTGCCGTCCCATATCCCATAACTAAATGTGTGTTTGGTTTTAAGTTGATAATGCTTTTAAATTGACATTAAGAATTTCCCATCTCTTGTTTTAACAACTACAGCATCCTTGGTCGATAAGAAATCAAAGGGACCATCTACAGGAATTGTTGTGATACTTGTTTATTGGTTGTATTTGCCATAAGAAAAGTTCCGGAATAATATTGAAATTTAGCATTTATGTTTAATTCGTTTAATTCCAATATTTATAAAAACTTTTCATTTTGGTCCCTTTATCTAAAATCATTCCGTTTTGGTTTTACAAACTATTTTTAATCTTTTATACTTCCCTTGGCATAATTTTAGTCCTTTTTAATCTTTACATCTATCATTTTAATCTGTTTTATTTCCTATGACGAAGACTAAAAGGGATGATTTGAGTACGAGATTTTAATTTTGAAACTATAGGACCAGAAGAATACTTAAGTAAACCTAACTTTTGTCTAGAAGTGTGAGAGCGGAAAGGTTAAGGCTTTGGGAGAGTTGGTTCATCTTTTTGATCAAATAATTAGGAGCTTAATCATCGCTTCTATATCTTTTTTTGCCCCTTCCCTTAGTAGGGCTCTGGAGGGAGTGAGGTTGAGCTTGATCTTATTAGTTAACTTTACGTCATGTCAATTTACATTGCAGGGCCGATTTGAGATTATATCATTATCAGGTGCCATGCAACAATCTGAAAGTAACAGTGAACGTAGCAGAACATGCACTTTGAATGTAACCCTTGCAGGGTCCGATGGACGTGTTTTGGGTGGCGGAGTTGCTGGAACGCTAACTGCGGCATCAACTGTACAGGTATCGCTCTCTAATGGGTTAAAGTTTATGTGGATTTTTATTATTGTATATATAATTCCTTCATCATTATTATGTACAAAACTTTGATGCTTTATTCATGTGACTTTTTTCATTGATAGGTCATAGTTGGTAGCTTTATTGTGGATGGAAAAAAGGCGAACTCGAATGTCCTCAAATCTGGGCCTTCTTCTGCACCACCACCCCAAATGCTAACATTTGGTGCACCCATGACTCCAACTAGTCCTACTTCACAAGGGCCTTCAACTGAGTCCTCTGAGGAACATGACCACACTCCTTTTTGTAGAGGGCCTGGGTCTGGGCCTGGACCTGGACCTGGACCTGGACTCTACAACAATACTAGTCAGCCCATGCATAATATGCCCATGTACCATCATCCGCTATGGGCTGGCCAAACTCATCAGTGAAGTTGTGACTTGGAATTAACAGTGCAGAAGCTGCATATTTTGCATGTTGCCTGTTCAAAGTAGTGGTTAGGGATCGATTCTAAAATGCTAACTGCATTTTTGAGGCTGACTTTAGAACAGTCTGTCTTAAGGTTTAAGCTGTTAAGTTATAATTAGGATTTTTTTTCCGATTAATTATAATTATAACATTTCTAGCTGTGACAGGCAAGGATATGCTGTCCACTATCCATCAGAATTCTGTCATTTTGAAGTTTGCTGTCTGTAGTCCGCAGTAGCAGCATAGCAACAGAATCAGAATTTGTGCTCATGCCTCGTGTATCGTTTATTAATTCTGAGTTTACCGCATATTTGGTGTCTTCTGAGCTGCTTATTCATTTCTTTAAGAGTTTAACTGCGACCAGTCAATCATCCCATAAATTCTTTCAATTCTTCCTCATATAATAACCATAATTTTATTAAATCAAGTATGCAACGTTTTCGACAAATTAAATGTAACAGATTTTTGCTTCATTTAGCGTTTTTTTATTAAATATATCTTAGATATCAAAATCATCACTTCTCATAATAAATGTTGCGCAAAAGGAAAATAAGTTGTTTCAGATAATAGATGTCTTCTAAAGTTATTTATGCCAACCACACTGATAAGCTTTATTTATTCTAATGCACACTTTCCTATTTTATCTATTTCTCTATTAATATGTAATGGAAAACTATAACACAACAATAAAAAATATCAGAAAAATAATTATTTTCAAACTTTCAAAAATAAGGAATGAGCAACAATAATATAGTAATAATTACAAAATAGAATACTATTATTATTTTTAAAGTATCTATAATAAGTCAATGTATCAAAGCAATGATATTATCAAATATAAAAAAAATAAAATTACAGAAAAATAAATCTAAAATAAAGTGAGTGCCAAACTAATTTCTTTAACTACATCCATCTAATTGACAATTTTAATGGTTAAAATGAAGAACCAATGAAGTTGTATCAAAATTTTCAGTCCTTACTTAATAATTAATGAAGTAAAAATCGTAACTTTGTTAAAATGACTCAACGAATATGCTAATAATTTTTTTTTCTTTTAAAGGTTCTGAAATCCTTCTTATTTTGATCCGGATGAAATCTCTATGAAAAAAAATAGTTTGACTAGTTTAGACTTTTTTAAATAAATACTTAAAAACACGACCAAAAATATACCATAATAAATATACATGTAAATTTTTAAAAATTATTGCAAAAATAAAGATTTAAATAAAAAAAATACAGAAATGTGTTACTGAAATATCAAAGAGACAGATAAAAAAAAATAAAATATTAAACAAATTAAAAAGAGAGTATTATTTTATGTTTTAACTATAGATTATATTTTATTTATATTCTTAACAATCTTAATTGTGGATAGCAAAGACTATAGAAAAATTAAAAATGATATTTAATTTTGTAAAATAATTACTTGTCTGTTTGTGCATATGACTTAAGTTAGAGTTCATGTTTTATTTCTTCATAAGATCCAATCTATAATGTTTATATTATTCAAGTGAGATATTGTACCAAAAAGAGTAAGGAAAACTAACGATATAGGTAGTTTTGAAAAAATAATCAAGATAACTTTTCACCATTAATTAAATGAATCACCATTTTATTAGGATAACGAATTACTATAAATATTATTAAAGGAATAACATATGTTATTTATCCATTATTACCTTCATACATATGTATAAATAAAAATACTTAATTTATACTAATTACAGGAAAGTTAGTTAAGCTAATTTAATTTTGTTAATGTCATTAAAAAAAGTACATTTCCCAAACTACATCTAATGACATTTATGAAAAATGATAACTCAAATTTGAACGTAAAACATTTTTAAAACAATAACATCAAATAAAACTAAATTAGTAAGAATTTAATTATGTTTTAGAGTAATTTTCTCACTTCAATATTTAAATTAAATATTCTCAACTTTATTTGTGTAAAGACCAGTTATATTTGACTTATTAATTTTTATTTAAAGTCGATAATCCTAACGGTCTCTAAGTTGAGTCTTAATATCCATCTAACCTCTCTCTATCCTTTATGTCTGTAAGTTTTCAAAATTTGAAAGGTGAATTTCGTTGTCCGTGTCATTTATGAAGTGCCATTAAAACCATCCTTTCTTCTGCGTCAGACCTTCAAACTTTAGCCTATCCAATCGACTCAGTCACCAAAGTAATACTACCACGCGCCAATCCCGAAAGTTACACCTCAACCACTGCCGCGCCACCAGACGAGACGGTGACGTATTACGTTTTACCATCAATAAAAAACCCACGCGCGCACACATCATCATCGTCATCATTAGTTTTACAGCAGATAGATAAATAAATTTTAATTTATTGACGGTCTAAAATCGTTCTCATTCACCACCAAATTATTATCCTAATCAAATTGCTTTAAAAGTAAAAAGAAAATAAATTATACTAAATCATGGGTCAAAAGTTTAAACTTTAATTCTACACAGTGCCCTAATGCCAGTTCAACCTTTGGACAGTTTCTATTTGCGTGTATATATATATATATATATATATAGTTGTATTTTGATGATCAATCTTACTCCTACACTTCAATTAATACTATGAATTGCTTGGTGCTGCCGTTATCGTTGATCCGAAGACGCTCCATGGGGTATCGGCACCTGAGCCAGGAGAAAGAATCCGACAACCCTATAACCGTGGTGGTCGGAAAAGAGAAGAGGGTGTTCCTTGTGGAGCCTTTCGTATTAGAGGAGAACCCTTTTCGGGTGTTGATGGACACGTCGAAGAGGAAGATGGTAAAAGATCCAAAGAACAAGGATAATCATCGTCTCCGTCACCAACGTAATAGAGTTGTCTTGGTCGATGTTGATGCCATTTTGTTCGAGCACATGCTCTGGCTCATGCATAACGATTGCTCTTCTTTCTTCAACCTTAATTTGAACGACATTATTGACTTCTATGCTCAGGATGTGTAATCCTAACACTGTTACTTATGACTTCTACTTTAACGTACAAAGCCTTCCATGTTTTAATAATTTCAGTTACTAAAACTAGGGTTACTAGTTCAAAGCAATATTTATTTCCAATAATGAAAAAAACATTACGAGATAAATATATTTAATGTTTTGAAAAGATAAAGTAATAACATTTTTCCATTTGATAATTAGAAGGATTATAGTAATTTGTCAGAGGATGTAATTATATTACATAAAAATTAATTTCTCTCCGGAATACTTTAATGAAGCAGAGAATAAGACACAATTAATTCCGGGTATAAATGTTCTTCCAATAGTTTCCTAACACAATAATACTCTTACATTACAGTACATAGAATTATTAATTGAAACCTTGAAACTGTTAAACGTGCCTATCGCCATCGGAGTTAGGAGTTTTGTATGTTATGGTCTTAAGGGTTTTGTACAGTCAACAGTTTATATTGTAGTTTCAAGTATCAGCATTGTACATTAAATATTCTCCATTTTTTGTGTGCTAATTCTCGTATATTATATATCATTAATAACAAAGTTAATTATTTTTTATTATTTATCCATTTTTTATTTAGTTATATATACACCATATAGTAACATGAGTTTGGTAAAGCTTACACAACATGCCCGTATAATCCTTTTATATTTGAATATTATAATGTTTTGTTTGAATAAGAATTTATATTGAAGGGTTAATGAATTAAATTTAATAAAAACTATTGTTTAATGGTATTGTCAAACATATGAAAATGACATGTGGAAGGGAGGGACAAATGTCTCAAATAGAAGAGTTTGAGCATTTTATAGAATTTTTCCAAAGCATAACTCATCCCATTTTCTCAGAATCTGTATCTCTCTAAAACTCCAGTCTCTTCTTTTCTCCTCCTTCTCTCTAGAAACTCTTCATCTAAGTTCATCTTTTCAATCATCTGACCATACTTAATCACCCATAGTATCAAGAACTTCAATTCTCACCGATCAAAGTGTCGTTTAGAACGGATCCGTGAACTGCAGGTTCTTGAGAATTCCTAGTATTGAGAGCAAAATTTCTGAAGTGGTAGAGTTCTTCGGTCCAGTTAAGAGGTAAGGGAAACTAGCTAATTTAATTACTTTGTTTTGATGTATGAAAATGTTGTTGAGGATATTGAATGTATGTGAAATTGAATGAATTGGTGTTCGGTGCTGTTGGTGTGGAATATTGATGCTATGTTTATGATGATTTGGTATCTGCATGATCATGGTTCAGTGACCGAGTGAAATTGGAAGGAAGTGTGGTATTGAAAATGGGGAAATTGTGTTCGGTTTGGGTTTAATCTGTATAGGAAATCTGATTCTCGGTCATTGAGTTCATGATTCTGCAGAATTGACTCTCAAATATGTGATGAAACTCTCTTAACAATGCAAGAAAGGTTTAAACAATCTTAGTCTAGTGTAAAGAAGGTGTTTGATATATGTTTGGAGGATTAGAAGTTGGAAGATTGTAGTGAAATTGGTAAGATTTGGTGTTGATCATAATTCTACAGTTATTGTGCAGAATTATGTAGTTCGCTGAGGGTCTTTAATTGACCGTTCGACTTTTCTCTGGTGCACGGTCTTAACTGAGTTATGCTATTGTGGATTCTCAGTTAATGACCGCTCGATATTGTGTTGATTTTCAATTTAATATAGCATTCGGTCTAGACATAACTTTTGATTTTAAACAGCGTTTGGTATGTCATAGGTTTTAACTGTTAATGACTGCTCGATCACATACTGTCTTGGTAGTGCTCGGTCATTTACCAACACTCGATTTCAGAAGCGTTCGGTCTTGTACTAGTAGTTATGCTAGTGTTAGCGCTTGGTCTCGGTATTGTTGGGTCTTGTACTGTTACTCAGTTTGTATTAGTGTTCGGTCTAAGCTCTAAGTGTTCGATCTAAATCAACAATGTTCGGCCTAAGCCAATATTGTTCGGCCTAAGCCAATAATGATCGGTCTAAGGCATTAGTATTTGTTTTAAATCATAAGGGTTAGGTCTAAGATTCAAATAGTTCGGTTTTAGCTTTAGAATTTGGTTGTTCTTGCATTCAGCTTCAAAGACGTTCGGCTCATGATTGAGTTTTTACTTTTTACATGATCGTTCAGTCATATTCACATATTGAGAGTGTTCGGCCATTCAGCCTTGTTCATAAGATTTGTTGATCTTGTCGTTCGGTCGAGCTCAAGGGTGATGGTTGTTTTACTGTTCGGTTTGATGTTGTTTAAATGTGTTATGGATGAGAAAATATGTTTATATTAAGGTATGGGATTTATAATGTGATATGAAAGAGAATTCCAAGGAGGAATGTATCAGTGGTGGTTTCAATGTAGTGAAAGTATGAATATGGTCAGACTAAGTTGGCGTTCATCATGACATTCTAATGGTCACCGAGTCTCAAGTAGAGAATGGTGGCGCATGTGGTGAGAATAGTAGGAGGTCTGGTTGCGTATAGCTTGGAGTTCCAGCTATCAGACTAAATTCATGTGTAGTTTGCGGTTTTCAACTATAGTGAGGGATGAAGGGCTAACCTCGTGTGGCGGCTTGGGTTTCCATCTATGGTGTTCATGAGGTTTCCAGTTTACCTTTCCACGAGTGTAAGAACGTCGTAGCTACATAATTCATACAGTCCGAACAATCAAAGTAAAAGTGGTCGGTTATAACATGTGTATATGAACTCTGTAGATGTATGATTGTTTTATATGTTTGTATGAATTGTATGATTACATAATTAATTAAATTACACTAGCTTACCCTTATTTTTCTGTCTTGTCATGTTGTCCGTTCGGTCGTTCTTGTCCTTGCAATGATCACCCTTTGGGTGTGAGCAGAGTGTGCAGAATATATTCTGGAGCAGGCGTCGACAGGAGAGGAGGGTTTTCGCTAAGAGTAAGATCGTTTGGTCTTGTACTTGTTTTTGCATTTAGTATAAGACCGTTCGGTGTAATACATTGCTTGTAGGACCGTTCGGTTGATACACCTCTTATATGACCAATCAGTCTGCTTTTATGATTTGTATCAGTGTAGGTTTTTGTAAAGTTTTTAATTTATGGTTATTTTAGGATAACTGTAAGTTACTTTTATTTTCTGTAACTGTTTTATTTTATTGTAATTGTAAGGACTCTTAAATATAATTATAAAGCTATATTTTTGGGATGTTACATGTATCAAGTTTTTGGATGGAGAATTGAGGTGGGTGTTTTCTATTTCCATTGGTCATTGTCATTTTGTTCTATGATTATTACTAATTCATGAAAATGTCATTGACTCTTTGTACTTTGAAACTCTTTCATGTCGTGTTATTCAACCAACTACCAGATAAATGTTATTGATATGGTTAGTTGATAGTCGAAACTTGGAAATTCAATATTTCGTTTTATGATTTTAACATATTATTTACATTTTCACATGATTTATAATTTTGTTTTAACTTCTTTTTGTCATATATACTTTCATCGTTTAAATATGTTTTTATGTTTGTAATTACACTAATTTTAGTTTTTAGTTCCTATTGAAAATAAACAAAAATACACCAGAAGCACATACCTGTAAATAAATCCTGTTAATTGTTATAAACTATATATACCACCAATTGCTATCGAATTAGTAATACGATATTAGATATTCTTAATTGATTGAAGATGAAACGAGACTGATTAACCAATAATCTTCACTTTTAGAAGTTATTTTTAATAATAAATTTTAAAACTAAATTGAAAATGTTCTAGATATTTGAACTAAGTATCTAAAGTTCTGGCCAACAGGCCTTGACGGGCTATTATTGTGTGGGCCTATGTCCATAAAGGGACTGTTTCATCCCGCACATCATTGTTTCTTCTTGCACTCCACTTTATTTGCTCATCTTCTTCCTAGTGGTGAAGGCACGTTGTATTTGCTGCCTGGGGGAGGTGGAGGATTTCTTGGATCTTGATCTCGTCGCTATCGGAGGTGGAAGATCTGCCAGCAACGGTGAAGGTTTCAAGGATTGTGGGGAGGATTGGGTTTCGAGGGTTAATTGCAGTCGTTGGACATGGTTGGATAGAGGGGAAGAAAAAGAGGATAAAATGGTCATTTCATTAAGGCTACGGTATGTAATAAAAAAAGGGAGGTGTAGGAGTAAACACCACTTCTTAGATGGATTATCTGTTAGACACACTTATCCAAAGAGATTTTTTGTTATTTTATTTATATTTTGTTTAACGCTTCCTCTTATGTTAATTATAATTTAGTCTTCCTGAAAATTTCACATTAATTATAGATAAAAACTAAAGATTTAATATATTTTTAATTTTTATATAAAATTATTTTGAAACATTATTATTGAATAGATATAATTGTCGTGACCAAAAACAATAAAATATTTATTAATGTAACAAAGAGAGTTGTCACATATATGACTGTTTTGATATTGTCACATGAGTGTCGAGATAGTGCCCTCCTCTCCCCCTCTCATTCTCATTTCCTCCTCTTCTGTAGTTTCCCAAACTTCAATCCTTAAGGAATAAATTTCGAAGAAATTTCTGATATCGAGCATTAAAAAATAGGTTGAGAATTTGACCCCATCCATTTGAGGAAATATTGTTCTATTATACCCATTTGACTTATTTTTAAAAAAAGATATTATTTTAAAAAAATTGAAGATATTAATTTGATAATATAATTCGAAATATAATTGTTTTTATTATAATTGTTAGTAGAAAAAGATAAATGAGAAATAAAATATACCTTTAAAATTTACAATATTGTTATTGATCATAAATATTTTATATTATAATACTTTTATTTTCTAAAAAATAATAATAAATTTAATATCAAATTATTTGATGAAGAGAGGAACAAGTCTTTTGACATGGTACGTGTCTTAAAAATGAGTTTTATATAAAACTAGTTAAATAGGTTCTAATAGTTTTAATTACATTTAAATGGTAAACTCGCGAAATACTTAAAAAAGAAAAAAGATAAAAAATTATTACT